GATTAGTTATCTCACCAGTGGTAATAAATATTTGCTGTACCGAAACAAATTTGATTCTTTGAAGACTGCTGCATCGTGTGCCGAACCAGGTGCATGGCAATTAATATTTCTAAATCTAACATTATTTGTTCAAAATGTTGTACGTAAATATGTAAACTATATTATTATAGACATTTAAATGTGTTTAAGTTTAAGTTTATGCTTTGATTATCCGCCCTAAGGCGAACTATGCTTTGAGTATCCGCTCTAACGCGAACTATGTAAAATGGTTGGAGAGGGGGAAAAAGACAAGATGGCCACAATACACGAGTAAGACAAAACGTGTTCTTTTACTGCTACTAAGTGAAAACCCAGCATCATTATCATTTCCTCGAACATTGTGGTCCTTCGAGCCGGATTCGGTTAGAGGTCGACGGAGGACATCGAGGAAGCCCAAGAGGCGGAAGAAATCAACGGCAATCGTTGGAATTCTAGTCAAGTCGTCGTGCCTTGGTATCAGGGACAACGAAGCGTGGCCATCTTCTAGAAGCTTGAGACCGGTGGCCGACAAGGTAAATCAGTGGTCGGCATTGTGAGACTGGTAGTCAGAATCGAGGCGAAGCATCGCCAACCTGAGGTCATCGTCGAGGCGACGTAACGACAATCAGGGCTTCTCGTCGTGCGAGGCGACGCAGCGCCAACCTGAGGTCATCGTCGTGCGAGGCGACGTAACGACAATCAGGGCTTCTCGTCGTGCGAGGCGACGCAGCGCCAACCTGAGTTCATCATCGTGCGAGGCGACGCAGCGCCAACCTGAGGTCATCGTCGTACGAGGTGACGTAACGACAGTCAGGGCTTCTCGTCGTGCGAGGCGACGCAGCGCCAACCTGAGTTCATCATCGTGCGAGGCGACGCAGCGCCAACCTGAGGTCATCGTCGTACGAGGCGACGTAACGACAATCAGGGCTTCTCGTCGTGCGAGGCGACGCAGCGCCAACCTGAGTTCATCATCGTGCGAGGCGACGTAGCGACGTCAGGGCTCATCATCGTGCGAGACCGGCACACGGCCAATCAGGATTCACGGAGGACGGGTGCATGTGGAGACGCCATACAACCAATCACGATC